CATTGGGCTGTTAAGTGCAAGGTCAGCAGTTGAAACCTACCAGTCCCTCCATGGGAGACAGATGAGGCTGTCTGTTTCTGTAAAGATTTACAGTTTCAGAAGCCATAGGGAACACTTAGACTCTGTCCTGTATAGAGTTGCTATGATTCAGAATCAACTCAACGGCAGTGGATTTGGCTTGTTTTTGTTTGTTTGGTTACCAATGGCAGGGATCATGCAAACATAAAATGGGAAATAGAAACATGAATAGAATCAATGTAAGAAATAGAATCAATGTAAGAAAATGAACACAGACTAGAGAGATTAAGGAACATGGTGAGAGAGAATAAAATACTTGTAGTTTTCTAATGGGTGTAAATTTCAGGAAGTTAAGCCTTTAGGCTTAGTGCATCCATGTATAGTGTTTGTTCTGCTACTGTAATTTACAGTTATATGATATTTTCTATAGATTCCAACCTGTTGCCATGAAGTCAGTTTCAACAACTACCCTATAGAACACAGTAGAACTGTCCTGTAGAGTTTTAAGTCTGTAATCTTTATGGACACAGCCACATCTTTCTCCCACAGTGTGGCTGGTGGGTTTGAACCTTCCACCTTTAGGTTAGTAGCAGATCTGATTAACACTGTGCTACCAGGGCTCCTTACATAGATTATATAGGGGTAAATTCTTTACTTGAGAATTGAGAGTAGAGAAAGGAAAAATATTATTAGAGATTATAATAATCAGTAACTGAAATTTTCATCTTAATTAGAGGTTGGTAGCGTAGTGGTTACGAATTGGGCTGTGAATTGCAAGGTCAGCAGTTCGAAACTACCAGCTGTTCCGTGGGAGAAAGATGAGGCTTTCTGCTCCCATAAAGATTTATAGCCTCGGAAACCCTGTACTGTGTTGCTACGAGTCGGAACCAACTCCATGGCACATAACAATAACAACAAACATTTAAAAGAGAATCAAACAAATAAGGGTCTGTAGTACAATATTCAAGCGAAACAGCATAACATGCATACATAACCATTGGGCAAAATATGGTTATACTTAAAGTTTTACCTGTTTTTCATAGTAAAGCTAGTAATACACAAGTAGGAAATGCTATCATGTGGTAAATTGGTTTTAAGTCAATGGTTAATTATATTATTCACAATTAATTTCTGTTCCTGATTGAAAGAAATATGTTGAAAGTGTACAGTGATTGTCAAGGGATTTGTGTCCAATGCAATGTAGCCAAAGTTTCAGGGTTCAATAAACAGGAATACATAATAAAGTCCTTTAATAACTATTCACATAGAAACATCGTCATTTGACATAAAGTCAAAAAATGACCATTGTGATTTACTGATTTTTAAAACTCATCATTGTTCATTATTTGCCTTGTGTTAAACAAAATACTGCCAATAATCAATTCCAATTGATAGGGACCCTATAGGACAGAGAGTAACTATCCTATTATGTTTCCTAGGCTGTATATCTTTACCAAAGCAGACTACCACCATCTTTTTTCTGCTGAGTGGCTGCTAGGTTTGAACAGCCAACCTTTTCTTTAAAAGCAGATGATTTTCTTACTAAAGTAACAAATGAGCAACTTCTATGGAGCAGCCTCAAGAATTACAATGAGATTGTACTCTAATTTATTCCCTTACTTAAATTCATCAGTGGAAATAAAATATTAACTATGCGTACCAGAATGAGAGTTACTATTATGTCAAGTGACAGATAAATTTTATAAAACAATGTAACTCCAGTATTCTAATATTCTAGTTGTTCCTATGGTTCTCATGGTGGCACAGTCTTTAAGTACTTGGCTGCTCACGGAAAGGTCTGCAGTTTGGCTTCCAGGAAGAAAAGATCTGTCATCTGCTCTTGTAAAGATTACAGTTTCGGAAACCCTTTGAAACAGTTCTATTCTGTCCTATAGGTTGCTATGACTTGGAATCCACGGCACATACCAATAACAGTGCCCCTACTGTACTTGTATTTAAAAATGTTCATTAACTTGCTACCTGCTAGAAAGCCAACAACCATTAAAAAAAACAAAAAACTTTATCTATCTATCTATCTATCTATCATCTTTCGGGTAAAGGAGCTCTGGTACCGTAGAGGTTACGAATTGGGCTGCGAACCACAAGGTCAGCAGTTCGAAACCACCAGCTGTTCCGCAGGAGAAAGATGAGGCTTTCTGCTCCCGTAAAGATTTCCAGCCTTCGGAAAACCTGTACAGGGTCGCTATGAGTCGAAATCGACTCCACGGCACATAAAAACAACATCATCTGTAGGATAAGCACGGGACTGCTAACCACAGGTCAGCAGTTCAGACCCAGCCGCCACTCCTCGGAAACTTTATACAGGGTCGCTCTGAATCTAACCGAGTCGACAGCACTTACCATTAACAATAATAACCATTGGTTTAAAAACAAACTTTTTAATAAAGCTGTTTAAGTGTTTGTTGTTGTTGTTGTTATGTGCCGTCGAGTCGGTTCCGACCCATAGCGACCCTGTACAGGGTTTCCGAGGGTGTAAATCTTTACGGGAGTAGAATGCCTCATCTTTCTCCCGCGGAGCGGCTGGTGTTTAAGTGTAGCTTTTGATAAACATAAATCAGCACAAATATTTTACATATCATATGAATCTAAACTATACAGCAAAAGAAATTGTGGACATTTTCTAGGGTAGGAAACAATGTTAACGAATCTTCTGTCAAGATGCTTCCAAAACTATTCACTCAATATGGTCTTTCGCTAGGATGTGCGCTTCTAAGCTCGTTCCATAGCGGGCGCTAATGAGAGACAGCGGCGTGTCGAGTTGACGCTCTGATGCGGTTGCGTACGTTTAAGTGCTTCCCGCTCTTACCCGTTGGGCTAAGATTTTTAACTGCCATCAGAGTCGCAGGTTTGACTTACTACTCTGTCTGGTGCCCCCTGGTGCTCATCACCTATACGTTCTTGAGTAGATGCAAGTAGCAATGGGATCCAAGGAATATAAAGATGCTTTTAAGAAAAGCGTTCCATTACTAAGAACTGTATGGATCCAGGCTTCCTCTTGTCTACAGCCTTGGTATGAATTACTTGTATGCATGCACCCACTTCCAGAGAAAGACGAGATGCTGTTTAACTAAGTCATCAAGTAAAAGAAAGATGGAAAATAAGTTGCAACCAACGACACAGGCAGAATTCAACTAAGTTCTCTCAAGTTTGTGGTACAAGAGGCAAATTTGTGCCTCTAATCTTTTTTCAGTCGATTACTCCATGTTAATTTCCCCTCTTCCCCCGCCCCCCGCCCCCTCCCGGCAAAGCTAAAATAGCGCTCACCACGATTCTGGATTTTAGTAGGGCAGCCTATTATGAGTGCCAGAATATGTCTTAAGTCTGGAGTTGAGAATGTGGCTTTAATTGTCATGGAAGGGAGGAGGATAGAAGATGATTCTGTCTCCTCTAACTCTCAATATTAATAATATTAATTGCCTGAGCAATCTTCAAAGTTTCTTTAAACCTACGGAAGGAGTCTTTGGCTCCTTTAGCTCTCTGAGCTCAGGCTGTGGTTATCCTGCTTTGCCCTTCCCCTCCACCCCCACACCCCTACAGTCACTCAACTCTATTGCGGCTCTCTCCATTAAAGAACAACAGATCATTTTTCATTGCATGGTAACCCTAAGAGATCTCTCTCCTCTCAGCAGAGCATTATGGGAGTCGCTTCTCTCGTCTTCCTTCCTTCTCTCCCTCCCTTTTCTTTCTTTCTTTTTTTCCTTCATTCCGTTCTTTCACAATTAATCCCAAAATAATGATGTTCCTAGCTAGCGCAGACTTCAGGATGGGATTTAGCGACCCACGAAGACGCTCCCATCAGCCTTCCAGAAGGGGCGGTTTCCACAGAAAACTACAACTTCCATGAGGCATCATCTTAAAACTACCGCAGGGCGTCACGGAAGTCGTAGGCTCCTTCCTCCTCAATCCCTTTCATTCCTCGAATTCATAAACTACAAGTCCCAGATAGCCTCAGTACTGGCACGCCTGCGCGAGAGCCCGGAGAGTGAGGTGGGGGTGGGGCTGCCCCGGGCGGCGGGGGGCGGGGTCCGAGCGGGCTGTGTGGAGACTTCAGACTCCCGGCGCCATTTAGCGCGGAGAGTTTCCCGGGCGGACGCGGCTCTTCTCACTCGGCCACTCCGCACCCCCATCTTCGGTGACAGAAGGTGCCTGGTGGGGGTGACTACTCTTTTCTCTCCCTATCCCCTTCCACCCAGTCCTCTCGGTCTTTTCTACTCTCGGTCCAGAGAAGCAGCGGAGCTCGGGCCCCGCGGTGAGCGGCCCTCCCCTCCCCACCGTTCCCTCCCTCCGTCAGCCCCCGGCACCGGCCCGGGAGGAGACGAGGCTTTGCCAGGCCCGGGGCGGGCGGGGAGGCCTTGGGGAAGGGGGGGCCGCTCCTCAGGCACCGAGTCTTCGAGGCTTTGGCCCTTCCCTCCAGGGCGATGGGCGCTCTGTGAGACTGGTCCCCCTCGTTGGGGGCGCGTGGAGGAGGAGGCGACTGACTGACTGACTGACCCGGAGTCCCTAGTCTTCCTCAGCCCCTCCCACTCTTCTTTTGCCCTGGAGCTGCCAGCGCCTGGGAGTGTGTGCTCGTCCCTTCGTCGCTTTGCCGCCGCCCTCAGGGCCTAGCCCGCCCATCCCGGGCAGCGGCGGCGGCGGGGAGCTGGAGCGGTGGCCGCATCTGCCGCATCCGCTTCCACTCAGTGCCGACTCGGTGCCCTGCCCCTCATGACTGCGGCGCCTCCGCTGCTACCGCCTTCCTGGCTGCTCCTCGCCGCAGGATGGATGGGGACCGGGCGGCGCTAACCCTCGTGGCTCAACTCCTGAACCGCCCGCCCTGTGAGCCGCAGCAACCTCGCTGTCAGCAGCCGCCGCAACTGGGCCCGGAGTGCCTCCTCTCCGCCCGGGCGGCTTGTCAGTGCTGAGTGAGAGGCGCCCGGCTCGAGCCGAACCCTCCAGGGAGGAGGAGCCGCCGTCCAAGCGGGGCCCGACCGGCCTGCCCCACTCCTCCTGGCTCGGCCCTTCGCCCTCTTCTTCATTCACTAGTCGGAGCCCGCTCGCGGACCGACCATGTCTGGCGGCGCCGCCGACAAGCAGAGCACTAGCCCGAGCGCTCTGTTCCTCTCGCCGCCGGCGCCCGCCCCCAAGAATGGCTCCAGCTCGGATTCCTCGGTGGGGGAGAAGCTGGGGACGGCGGGCCCCGACGCCGGCCCGGGCCGGACGGAGGAGTACCGGCGCCGTCGCCACACGATGGACAAGGACAGCCGCGGGGCGGCGGCGACCACAACCACCACGGAGCACCGCTTCTTCCGCCGGAGCGTCATCTGCGACTCCAACACCACGGCGCTGGAACTGCCGGGCCTCCCGCTGCCTGTGTCCCAGCCCAGCGTCCCCGCCGTGCCGCCGCCCAGCGCGCCCCCGGAGCCGCCCCACCGCGAGGAACCCGGGCCCGCCACCGCCGCCGCTGCCCAGCTCGCCCGGGCGCCTGCAACCGCGGTGGCCCCGGGGGAAGCAGCCGCCGTGGGACCTGCCGCCGCCGCCCCCGTCCCCAGTAGTTCAAGCCAAGAGCGCCTGGCCTCCCAGCCCAGCCCGGGGGGCAGCAAAGAGGAGGCCCCGTCCGGGAGAAGCGGCAGCGGCGGCAGCCGGGAGCCCCTGGAGGAGCGCAGCCAGCAACAAGATGACATCGAAGAGCTGGAGACCAAGGCCGTGGGCATGTCCAATGATGGCCGCTTTCTCAAGTTTGACATCGAGATCGGCCGAGGCTCCTTTAAGACCGTCTACAAAGGTCTGGACACTGAAACCACGGTGGAAGTCGCCTGGTGCGAACTGCAGGTAAAAAGCCCCGCCTCCGCCTTGCGTTGGGGGTAGGTTTGGGATCCCGAATTCAGCGCAGTTGCCCACTTTTGTGATGGTTGTTGGACGGCTAGCTCCAAGGAAGAGAGGGAGGGAGGCCCACAGGGAGAGGCTGAAAGGAGCAGCGTGCGGAGCACGGACCTAGACGTTTGAATAGACTAGGAGTGAGTGGTACCCGAAGGGACTTGCTCCTAGTGAGGGAGCTGCGAAAGTCATGTGAGTGCAAACGTGTTGGCTGCTTGTTACTGTTTTAGTGCCTGGCAGCCCACTTGGCGTTAGTGGGGAAGTGTTTGAGTTAAGTAAGCACAGAACCTTTTTGCTCTCGGCATTTCGATCTCCTCAGAGGTTAGGCAAGGATGAACTCCGTGTACATCTTGAGGTTAAGGTTGGCGGTGGTGGTGGTGTGCCGTGAAGTCGGTTCCGACTCATAGCGACCCTGTACATAGTTCCTGAGCCTATAAATCTTTACGGGAGCAGAAAGTCTCATCTTTCTCCCGTGGAACTGCTGGTAGTTTCGAACTGCTGACCTTCAGGTTAGCAGCCCAATTCGCAGGCTAATTAAAAAACAAGGTATATTCAAACTTGTTTAGAGAGATCTTTGGTTGGTTGTTGCACTGGCATGTAATACAAAAGAAGGATTTTAAAAAAAGTCTTTCTTCTCTGCCCCCTTTGGGATGCTTTGGGACCAGTAAGACACCATCAGTCTTAAGTGTTCCACCTAATGGTACCTAAGCCCTATGATATCTAGGAGTGAGTTGACATTGTTCATTCAAACAAATGTGTCTTCAGCATGTTCACTATGCAGTGAATAGTGAAAGTGCCCGTGTGACATAGTGTAAATGCTTGGAGAGTTATAATGTCATCATTGCTATAATCTTGTAAAAGATTTTTAACCTAAACTTTTCCAAGAATCCAAAGGAGTCACCATACTTCTTTTTTTTAACCTCTCAGGGAGGCTTTTGTGATGTGAATAATGGTGTGTCATTCTGGTTGTGACAAGGTATATTCCAGGTTTAAACTGCTAGATTTGGTATATTTCTTACTTGACCAAGTAGCAGGTTGTTTGAATGTTGCCTTCCCCAGGAAGAGTGAGCAGAGCGTGGGTAATTGCAGAGTTAAAGTTGTGCTGAATGAGAAAGTCAGCTACTACTCTGTATGCAAACTTCCATTATTTTTGCCAAGAAAATGGACCAAGCTGAAATAGTATGTGAATATAATTGAAGGCTCTAGGGACTTAAGTTTTCCTGAGCTAATTTTGTTAACACTTAACCCTTTGAATGCCAGTTTCCAAATGCCAAGGCCATATCTAATGTGAAAGGGTATGAATACAGTGTGTGGGTATAAACTTAAAAACTGACAAGTTCTCTGTTGTTGTTGTTGTTGTTAAGTGCCATTGAATTGAGATTCCGACCCATAGGGTTTCTGAGGAGCAACTGGTGAGCTTGAACAGCCAACCTTGCAATTCAAAGAACTTTGCAGTCTGGCTCATTAACCCACAGCATACCAGGACTACAGCAGGAACATAATATATAAATTTCTAACTGTTATTAGAGTTAATGGTCTAGAACTTATAGGGCATTGTTGAATAAAAGCTACATACTAGTTTTAGAGTGATTTAAAAGTTGAAAGGTGGCAGAACTTTTCTAAAATAATCATCTATCTATAACTTTATTTCTAATGGTTAGTCCTACTGAAAAACTTACATCTAATGCCTGTTGCTGTTGAGCCTGGAATTTTATTCATCTGCTATAATTTTGTATATGAATAGATGCATTTTGAAATTCTTTAATTGGTTTTCTTTAAAACTAGACCTAAGTAAATTTTGAGCGCTTTATGTGTGGATTAATTTTGTTAGTTTCTGTTGTTTTACTTTCAAGACGTCTCAGATGGTAATTTACGTGCTTTCCATTGCCATCATCAAATTTTTTGATAGCTTTTTATTTTGGGATTAATGATACATTGTAAAAAAATTTTGTCTGATGTCACATTAAGCTTTGACTAAACTCATTTTTTCTTAGAGCTCATGACTTTGGATTTTCAGTTTTCTGTTTAGGCATGGGCATGGTCACACTAGGGAAATTCTGATCTTTGTTAGAGTTTTAAACCAATTCTGGATTTAGCTGCAGAGCCAACTCATTAAGTGGTACCCTGATTTAATGTAGACAGTTGCATGTTATTTGACCCTGTTTTTCATTTTGATTTCTAAAAAGTGATTATCCTAGTCCACAGATCTTACAGGGTTTCTGCTGCTATTATAAAGGGACCCTCTACAGGATTGCTATAAGTCAGAACCAACTAGACAGCAGTTAACAGCAACAAATGATACTTAACAAGTACATGCCTAATAAACTCTAAAGTAACAAATTTCAGGCTTCTAATTTGGTTATTTATTTATTTATTTATTTTTACCATTTAAATGGAGCAATAGACTTTTTAGACTGAGGGATGGGTAGTTGTGGAGTACAAATCAAATTTGATGCTGTCAAGTTTATTTTTGGAACCCAGTTTGTATAGCTGTCTTTTCAAATAAGCATTGATTCTTAATAAATAATATACAGTTAATTCTTTGATACCACAAATCTTAAAAGTAAGATGCATATTTCCTTATGTGGTTTTATTAGGCAAATAATGTGGCTTAATTTTAATTCTCAAATGTGTTGGGCAGAAATGTTGCTACTGAACTTTGCCTGAGTTTACATTGAGTAATTTGTTTGAAATAATCTTTTGTTCCTTCTAAACAGGACAGAATAGAAATAGAGACAGGATGAATTTCATTGGTTAAGAGATGATTTAAAAGCATATAGATTTATTGCTGTAATAAGTAACAGTTGTGATACAGGAATTGAGAATTAAGTTTAGGTTGACTTATACAGTTCCTACTTAGTGTTGGGATTTAATAATGTTTTCATTTTCTTTTACCTTTTTTTCTGATCTATATAGTGTCACAGGTTTTCCTAGTATGTTAAGTTGTTGTTAAGTGCCGTCGAGTCAATTCTGACCCATAGCGACCCTGTATAAGGTTTCCAAGGAGCAGCTGGTGAGCTTGAACCATCAACCTTGTAGTTCAAATGACTTTGCAGTCTGACGCATTAGCCCACAGCGCCACACCAGGACTCCTTTCCCTAGTATAAGGACCTGTAATGAGTGGTTGTTTTTAAATAAAGCACTTTAGAAATCTATTGTTGCCTTGTAACTGAGTTCATTTCTTAACATTCAAATTCTAATGCAAGATCCTGGTTATTTGATAATCATCCTAGTTAATCCCTATGGAAATATTCAACTGAAAACAGGCTCTCATTTTCAGAAATCATCCTAAACCCATTATATGGGTTTTCTGATAGCTTAGCTTTTAGATGGATCTGTAAAAGCAAAAGAGTTGTTATGCTAACTATATAACTACTGAAAAAGTACACCATGAACAAATTCATAGTAATTACAATTAATGAATGGGTCTTTGTTATGTGCCTGTCCTTTCATTTAAACATAGGACCAATCTGATCTTCAGGAATAGGTGAAATTTAGCATGACCTGAATGTAAGTCTAAAGAGGGTACTGCTTCTATGTTTGTTGTTGTCGAGTGCCTTCGAGTCAATTCTGACCCATAGCGACCCTGTATAGGGTTTCCAAGGAGCAGCTGGTGAGCTTGAACCGCCGACTGTGCAGTTCAAACGGCATTGCACTCTGGTGCGTTAACCCACAGTGCCACACCAGGCATGTATAGTATTTGAGAACTAGTCTGCTTGGATTCAAATCCTGGTTTGGCTATGTTATTTCTTCCTTTGGGCAATTTCTGTGCTACAATTTCCTGTCTGTAAAATAAGTGTAAAAAGAATACCTTTTACTTTATATTTTTGTTGATTAAATGATTTTTGGTGTGGCTCTGTAGGATAAACACTGTGAAATGCTAATCGCAAGGTTGGTGGTTCAAACCCACCAGCTGCTACTTGGAAACCCTGTACAGGGTCACTATGAGTTGACCTTGTTGTTAAGTGTACTGTTGAGTTGATTCAATTTATACGACTCTGTATAGGGTTTTGGAGGCTTTTACATCTTTGCAAGAGCAGAAAGCCTCATCTTTCTCCCATGGAGTGGCTGGTGGGCTTGCACCAACAACCTAATGTTTATGTATTTGTGTGTATACACGCGCACACACACACACAAAGCATTTAGGGCAGAGCCTAATACACATATATTAACTTTTAACTATGAAGTTGTTGCTAAATGCTGGGGAGTCGTTTCTGACTCAGTGATCTTGTATAGGGTTTCCAATTTCCAAGGAGTAGCTAGTGGATTTGAACCACTGACCTTGTGGTTTGCAGGCCAGTGCTTATCCTACACCACCACACCAGAAGTGATACGGCATCTTTTTTCTTTTTTTTTAAAAGGCATTCCTCTTGAGGGTAAGGGTATTTATGAAGATTTTGTTTGGTTTTTGCTTACATTGTTTGAAAACTTGTAGCAAAGCTCTTTTTTTTTACAAAATTATGTTGTTGTTGTTGTTAAGTGCCATCAAGTCGGTTCTGACCCATAGCGACCCTTTATAGGGTTTCCAAGGAGCAGCTGGTGAGCTTGAACCACCGACCTTGAAGTTCAGATGGCTTTGCAGTCTGGGGCATTAACCCACAACGCCACACCAGGACTCCTTATTAAAATTGTCAAAGTGTGAAACTATTGTTTCTTGACACATCTTTCATCTAGTTCAATACACTTCTGAAGGCAGAGTTTCAACCTTCTTTCTAATACTTCCTGCAAGAATTCTGTGATCTTTGATTTACACCATGTCAAAACATCTTTTTCTTGTAAATGAAGTTTTCAGATTTTTTTACAACTTCTCCCTAACAAGGCCCCGTGATTGTCAAATGTCCTTAGAGAAAAATCTGTCAAGACATTATCCCTTTAAAGTCCCCCCAAAACAATCTCCATAACCTTCTGATATGACCTCTTTTCCTTAAATTTAGCTGACCCAACACATCTCAGAA